CTATACTTGTGCAAGTAGCTGGCGAGGCCAAGCCACTTGCGCAAGTCCTTTTGGTTCTCTGAAAACGGCCAGTCTACAATTGCATTAAACTTAGCGGAATCCGCTCGAAGGCCACGCTTCCCGATGAAGCACCCTAAAAAGGGTTTCTTCTGCGCTAAACATGCACCTGTCTGCATTAGCATACCGCTTATTCGTGCGCATACACTCGAGCACCGATCTTAAATGGACGATGCGGTTTTCCACATCGGTCCTACCGTGCCCCACATGACTGTGGAAGAAGATGCCGTTGAAGTATGTTTGTGCATACGCCCGGTGGGGCGCGAAATACTGCGTCACAAGAGGATCAAATGTTGCTGGTGCATTTCACAGCCCTTGGGGCAGCCACTCCCAGTTCATGCTGCTCGCTGTTCTCACTGCTCTCAGCGGAATATTACTCGCTCTCATTAGCAATTGGTAATAAACTTCGACCAAGTCGAGTGCGCTGTACTTTGTAAAGCCAACCATTTTATTCTAAAGAACATCCTTCCTAAGAATCGGTGTTGGTGCCGGAAAGGTGGCAGCATTGAACTTATTGTTAGCGTGAACGATATGTCACTTGCCGTTCGGCTTTTGGGCACAAAACGTGGGTGTCGAATGGGAAAACTTAGACTCACGTACCATCCCAGGTCGTGCTTCACATGGAAGAAGGTGTCAATGATGTCGCACTGCTCCTTGGGCAGGGGCTATTGGATTGTTACGCAGTATTTGGTTCCGGGAACCAGGTCAATCTCATGACGCACATCTCGGTTTGGGGGGGGGTCGGCGCGACGGTGGGTTTTGGAGACGACGTCTTGAATTTCCTTTACCAAAGGAAAGTAGGGAGTCAAGAGATCCTTCGAATCGACAATCAACTTCGTGCGTTCAGCACCCTCTTGAAGTCCTCCAGGACAGCTTACCCCAAAAGCGACGACGAGTTAATCTCCTCGTTCGGTCGTATAATGACCACCTCGGCAAAGTCGGCTGCCTTCAAGTCACCGCCGAACTCTTCGAAGGGCATCTTGTCCAGCTCAACAAGAGCATCCACCGCGGGAATAGCATCGAAGGCGAAGACGCCGTCGTTCTCTCCGTCATACCGTTGACAAGGGTATATAGCTGTGCGCTATCGTCTACGGTAGACACACCCTGGGTCAGGGTCAACGCCATGCGTCTTACAGATATCGTACGGCTTCGCCGTAACGTCTTTATAGAGATTTTACGTCTCATCGAGACCAGTGGGAACACGTACTCGGCGTCATCCAGTGTCCTCTCCTGCTTCACCGGAGCCCTGATATTATTAACAATATTCGACGACGAGCTGCTAGCTCCACAGCCTTCGTCCAGTGAAGAACGTGCCACTCCACGCGCATCTGAAGGGCCTTGCCCAAGATGCCTCAGACCTCGTCCGACCATGCCACTCGTGGCATACAGCGACACGTACATCACTGGGGCCTCGCCCTCGATGCCTCGACCATTGACCGACCATGCCACGCATGGCAAGCAGCGACTGCTCCAATACTTGGGCATTGGTCAGTGGGTTACGTGCAACCCCACGTTCATACCGCGAGCCATGCTCAAGACTACACCTTCGGTATTCGACAACTTGGGTACTCTGATCTCCAGCACGTTGACCGTCTCGGTCATATGTTTACGCCAATAGCGCTTCCGCTTCCTAGCAGAGGTGGTTTCATGACTCACCAAAGCTCCCCCAGGAGTCGTGCGCGTAGCGCCCAAAGTCTCCGACCTCCGATTGATCCATGGTTCATTGTGTTCCAACCATGCCATACCAAGGATAAAGTCATACCTTGAGTCCAAGTCTAAGACCAAGCAGCGCTCCACGCTTTCAAAGTCAAGAAACTTGACACTGAGGTCCACAGGATCCTCGGTACCGTGACACATGTCCCCGTCGCTAAGCGAAGAGTGACGATGCCACTCAACCACGCTTTTTGCGCCTCAGCATACAGTTAGCTTCCTTTCGTCATGGAGCGTCGGACAATTCCGACGCTCCGAAGTCAATCAGGATCTTCCATGGCTTCTTAAAGTCCTTCACGGTCGCTTTCACGGTCGCTTTCACGACCAGCAAGCTCTGCTTGGATACACGTTCCGTGCTCAAGAGAAGGGGGCTCTTTGGGGCTGGGCCCTGCTGACCACTACCTCTTTGAGGCTCAACAGAACACAGTTCTTCCCCAGCGGGCCGCTCCACACCTACAAGGTGTTGTCGTTTGCCAGCGACGAGCCAGAAGACTGGTAAGAAGCGGAACGTCGGTTCGATGAACCTTGACGCCCCTTGCGCAGGGACAATCAATCCTGAGGTGACGGGTGTCTCCACAGACAAAACACCGTCAGGTGTTCGAGCTCTGCTCGGCATCTCGGAGCTCTGCCTCTTCTTTATCAGCATAGCAGAGATCCATCGGCTCAGGCCCGCTCGACGAGACACTAGTGTGTGCATTCCAATCAAGTCAAGCTGACTTATAGTTGAATTCGGCATTCAGTGCTGAATTTAATAGTTCTTCAAAAGAAGACGAGTGCACACGGAGGACACCATTCTGTCCACGCCAGTGCGGAGGCCCTCCATAAAGATGGTCACTGTGACCGACTCGTAATGAGGATTGGCCGCCAACAATATGTCGAGAGGAAGACGGGCGATGAAGACGGCGACGTCAGCCTCGAGGCTATTCCTGCATGAATGCTTTTCATGAGCTGGACGAGATATCTTTCAAAGACTTCGCCGTTGACTTGATGGCAGGCGACTTAGCCGAAGTGGTCATTATACGACCAAACGAGGGGACTAACTCGTCATCGCTTCTGGATGAAGCTGTCCTGGAGGACACCAAGAGGGTGCTGAGCACACGAAGTGGATCTTCGATTCTGAAGAGTCCCTCGGATCCGTACTTCCCTTGGGTGAAGAGAATTCAAGCCGATGTTACCAAAGACCCCGTTGGTCCTTCTTTCGGACCGAGGTGTACGTCGTGAGATCGACTGGGTTCCGGGAACCAAATACTGCGTAACACACCAATGGCCCCTGCCCAAGGAGCACTGCGACATCATTGACATCTACTTCCACGCGGAACACGACGCAGATATGGAACGTGAGAGCAAGTCTCTCTGTTTAACACCCACGTTTTGTGTCCGAAAGCCGGACGGCAAGTGACGTACCGTTCACGCATACAATAAGCTCAACGCTGCCACCATTCCGGCACAGACGCCGATTTCTATTAAGGGTGTTCTTCAGAACAACAAGGTTGGATGTCCAAAGTACAGTGCGCTCAACTTGGTCGATGAACATTACCAATCGCTCATGAGAGCGAGTGATATTCCACTGACAGCGGTGAGTGCTCCGAGCAGCATGATCTGGGAGTGGCTGCCCCAAGGACTGTGAAATGCATCAACAACAATTATTCGTCTTGTGACGCAGTTGTTCAGGTCCCACCAGGCGAATGCACAGCCAAACTTCGACGACATCCTCGTCCAAAGTCGTGCGGAGCACAGGAGAACGGATGTTTAGAAACCTCATCGTCCATCAAGCAGTGGTGATCGAGTGTATGCGCACGAATAAGCGGTATGCTAATGCAGACAGGTGCATCTTCAGCGCAAACGAAATCCCTTTTTAGGGTACTTAATCGCGAAGCGTGGCCTTCGAGCGGATCCCGCTAAGGTTAATGCCATTGTGGACTGGCCGTT